AATATATTATATACATATACACAAAATATATAATACTCCCTCCATCCCATGTAATATGGATGTATTATTGTAGACACCAGAATCTAGGTAAAGTATAATTAGTAACTAATTAAGAAGTATATTAGTAAAAATAATTATTATTTAGTAAAAATAATTATAGATTAAGATTAAGATAAGTAAATAGTTTAATTAAAATTAAAAAAATTATAAAATTTAAAATTTAAAATGCGATTAAAGTGCATAATTATATTTCTAAAAATAGAAATGACAAATTATGTGGGACAGATGAAAATAGAAAATAGGGATAAATTATGTGGGACGGGTATATACTATATCCATTTAAAAGATCAACACTTTTTTATATTGATAATTAGCTTCTACATGTCCAACATAACAATCACCTCAAACTCAAAATACCAAACAAACACAAATAATTGTAAATAATTAACAATATTTTAAAAGTTATTAAATCTTACTTTAAAAATTAAGTTGTATCTAGAGTTGGCAATGAGTCGATTCATGCCGGGTTCGTGTCGGGTTAAATACTTTAAACGGATTAAATTACTTAACCCTAACCCGATCCGTTTATTATTGTGTCGGGTTCGTGTTAACCCGTTTATTATCGTGTCGGGTTATAGTTGACTCGTGTTGACCCGTATACATAATTAAGTCTAATTCTTAATTCAAATTAAATAATTTTTTGTTTTGTTGTCGTATTATGTTAGTTTTTATTGATTTGAACATAAATTAAGTTGAATTATTTAAAATTGAACTTAGTTTAGATTAATTTATAAAAAAAATTATTAAATTATGATTATTTCATATATATATATAATAAATATATTAATCAATATTAATATATTATAATCAGATTGTCGTGTCGGGTTCGAGTTGAGAGTCTCAACCATAACCCAACCCGTTTATTATCGTATCGAGTTCGTGTCAATCCGTATACATAATCGAGTTGAAATATTTGACCAAAACCCTATTATTTGGTATCGAGTCAATTTTACCAAATCTAGTTGCATCCCACATTGTGATTTTAAAACAACATTGCCCACATATATTTTATAAATATTGTACTTATTATTTTTTTTCTTTTATTTTTAAAAATTGTACTCACTTTCTATATCTTTCTTTTTCTTTTAAACATATTCCTTTTTTCTAAATTTTGTACAAAATTATACCTTTTTTTTTTTTTTTTTTTTTTTTTTTACTATAAGATGAAAAGGTATAAAAAAAATTATTAGTCAAAATGTCATACATTACGAACCGTGCTAAAAACACAAATTTGATAGAGGGAATATTACTCTTTAGTGTTTTTTTTTTTTTTTCAAAATAATTTTTAATTTATATTTTCTTTCAAGAATATTGAACATCAATTTTCTTATAAAATTTTAGCAAATTTGCTTATAATCTACCAGTAATTTGGAAAGTTGATATCATATTTTTTTTTTATGGTTTAAAAATTGGATCCGACTCCTAATTTTAGAAAATATTGCCTATAACCACCTAAAAATTTTATAGGACTCCCTTGCATTTTTTAATATATTACATAAAATCTCCTAAAAATAGATTTTATGGCAATGTTTAAAAAAATTGAAAGAGTCTAATGCAATTTTAAATCATAAGTGATAATAATATAAACTTTTCAAACCACAAGTAAATCATAAATATTTTTGCCAAAAATTTCACATTCAATCATTTATTTTATCAAAACCATCAAAATCTGAAAATAAATAGTTTTTTTCGGTGTTTGTTTGCTGTAAGATCATTTTAGACCATCCGCAATGGAGATACCCGCTTTTAGGTATCTCCATTACTTTTTTTTCTCCACGTCACATTCTCTCTCTGCTACGTCAGCAGACATACTCTCTTCTATTTTATACTCTCTCTGCTTTGATTGATGTATTTAATTGCTGATGTACCAGTCATCGTAGTACAAATGTTGTCAATGAACCATCTTATGACAGTGAAGTTGGCCCGAAGAGAACTAAAATTAATGAAGATGGTGGATACTCGTCTAATTCAAATCCAACAACACCACATAGTGATGGAGTAGAAGAATCTCCCTTAATTCGTCCTCCGGGTGTAAAAGCGTGTAAAAATAAAGGCAAACAGGCACTGAAGAAATCTTCAAATTCACTTTCCTTCAATAATTTTGAAGAACTGCGAGCTCAAAGTAAAGAAGTTGCATCACAATTTGCTCGCATGACACAATTGAAGGAAGAAAAAATCAAAAGCAATGAGCGTATTGCCAAAATGAAACTTTATCGAACACTAGTGGAAAAAGATAATTTGACGGAGCAGGATCTACTTGTTAAGGCCAAATTGTTCGAAGAATTGTTTTAAATATTGCTTAAATTATATGTATTTTGTTCTATGTTATTCAAATTATCTTGTCTTTTATTTTATATTAATGTCTTATTATTAATTATGTATGTATAATTAATTATAAACTAAATATATTTATTGTTTAATATAATTTTATATTATTTAATTGCTTTAAAATTTATAATTATATTTTATTTAATAAATTAAATTAAATTTACTAATATTGATTTGTTCAATAGAATTATATAATATTTGTATTTATATATATTAAATTTCAAATTGATAAAATATATTCAATATTTGTATCATTTTGTGGAATATAAAAAATTATGAATTATAAAAATACTATAAAATTTAAATATAACAATAAATTTAATATAAATTACAAAACTAAAATATATATAACATATAGTATATATATATATATATACATTCCTAATGCCAATTGGGACACATAGCAATAGAATTGTATCTTCCCAGAGATGCTGGGAAGCGCGATGCTGTTATTTATTTATCTTTTTTAATGATGATGTACGAGAGAAGATACGACGTTGTGTGGATGTCCTTAGATTATTTATTTTACAATATCAAAATTTATGATAAATATAATATATTTATATATTTAACAATTATTGTCATAAAAGAAAATCCCAAACACAAAAAAAAAAAACTCCAAGTGTGTTTATTTTTAGTGTTTCAAATTTCAATCAATATATGTTTTTTCAAATAAAATAAGTATTAAATATGAAATTTAAATGAAAATCAATGTTATATATTTGTGCTTTATTTATTGCTTTTAGGCTTTGTTCATTTTGTATATAGAAAATTTTTTTTAGACGATATCAAATTCTTTCAAATCAATGTTACTTTATTTTATGACTCTTTCGACGGTATTGTTGTTTTTTATTTCAATTCTTTCTGTTTATTTTATTCATTTTTCATTGTTTTTTAACTTTTTTCATCTAGAATTTATTGAAAAATTTATACATATTTGTTGTTCTATATATTTTCTATTAGCAATTTTTCTTTTTTTTAAAAAAAATACCGACCAACAATGATATTTAAAGATTTAAACCAATTTATGTTCCATATTTATCTTAAATATTCATTAGTGTTGTCGGATTCAGATCTGCAAACAATAGAAAGATTTGTGTTCTTCAAGTCAATGGCTCAACTCATTATGAGAAAATCAATAAGGTTTCTACCGTTACTCTAACGATGAGATATGAGAAGTAATGGTTGTTGTATTTACATTTGTGAGATCATAGCCCTAATATATATTCCATATTATTAAATGGCCTTATCACCCTATTAATAAATTACCTGGTTTCTACCCTTGCAAAGCCCACACTTACTAAATATACATAAGTCCGGTAAATTAATAGTTCACTTAATATAGATTTACTGATAGCTCAAATAATTATATTTAATGCAATACTAACTAACAAGTAATTGTCGAACACTTGTAAATATTGGCCTAATAAATTTCGAAGCGATTGAGTCTTTCCTTAAGATGGCTAAGGTTAGAGATTCCGTTGGTACTAACTTATAAGCTAAGTAATTTCCCAACATATGATACGGGATATATATATATATTAAGCAAAATAATTAAAGGAATTTGACATGTGAGTCAATTCAAACAAATTCTGCAGCGCAGCGGAAACAGCTGTATTATTCTTCCTAATATTTAAGCTTAACCTTTGGGCCGGGTTGAATTGGGGCCCGATTCCAAGCCACCCACGTAACCCCCATGATTGATTATCTGTATAATAATAATAATAATAATAATAATAATAATAATATTTAATTAATGGGCTGTGTGTGCTAGAACGCATCAAATCCTTTATTCTATTTTCTATGAGATTCTTAATTAATAAACCCTATTCGATTCAATGAAATATTGCCATGAGAGAAAATGTTAATATATTTTCTAATTATAATTTTATTAGTTATCAGTTTTTTATCATATTATATTATCGAAAAAAAAATATAACTACTATTTTTTTAAGATATAATGTTTAAATATTGTTTAAACATAATTTTATGATGAAATATTATACAAACAATATAAATTTATTTTTTATATAATATTTAGATTCAAATTTTATAATGCACTAATGTAATATAACGTTTTATGAAAAAAAATAATTAAATTTTATGAGTTACATATTTCTATTTTATTATTTATTTAATTTTTCTTCTAAAATATAAATGAAAATTATATTAAAATTTAATTTAATTATATTAATTTATAAATTTTGTAAAGTTATTATTTGAATATAAAATATTATACTCAAAATAAAAATAAATATTAAATTCAAATAAATACTTCAAATATGATGTAGAAATTGAGTCCAAGTGTGATATTTTGGAAGAATAATATGTTTTCACAATAAAATAATATAATAAAAATTGAGATAGAAAAATAATAAATAAAAATTAAGTTGGAATATAGATTTAATTTAATTTAATTTTTTTTTTTAAGAACTCGCAAGTAAATAAAATAATAAAACATATATAAATTCTATTAATATTCTCTTATTGATGTGGCAGCATTTCATGGAGGGGACTGAGCAAACAGAAGGAAAATGAAATAGGGGATTTGATGCTTCCCTATAAATAGATGTGCAGTGGTGAATGGCAATTCATCCATTATATTACTACCAAGGCCGATATTCCTTCCTTAGTTCCCGCCTGCCTACTCTTATCTAATCTAATTAATTAATTAATTCCATGGGCGAGGAGGAGCAGCAACGATCAGAGAATCAAACCCTCCCTGCAGTGCCAAGCCCGCACCAGCCGAATGTTATCAACAACGCTGAAGCTGCAGTGACCCCAGTCCCAGTCCCAGTCCCAGTCCCAAGCGAGGAGGATAAGCTGCAAGTGCTGTTGAACGAGAGGCAGGTCGAAAGGTACATCAATGGCGGCCTTTCCCGCCACAGCTTCCCGCCGGGGTTCCTCTGGGGCGCCGCCACCTCCGCCTATCAGATCGAAGGCGCTTATGCCCACGCCGGCAAGTCCCTCTCCTACTGGGACTCCGTCACCCTCAACACTCCTGGTACCTAATTAAATTCATTAATGAAATAATAATAATAATAATAATAATAACTGTAATTGTTTAAAACATGCATATATATATATATATTTGTGCAGGTCGTATCAAGGGCGGCGCCAACGGGTGCGTGGCCATCGACCACTACAACAGGTTTCGGGAAGACGTGGCGCTCATGAAGAGACTCGGGATAGACACTTACAGGTTTTCCATTTCATGGTGCCGAATACTACCAGGTACGACTACCCTTCAACTGTCACACACGCCCGCGCACTCCATGCATGCATGCATGCATGCCTCTATTTAATTTAATTTCACGTACGTAAATTTGTAATTAACTTATTTATACATCATGTATATAAGGTGGGAAGCTGTCTGCCGGGGTAAACCAGCAAGGGATCAACTTCTACAACGATCTCATCAATCTCTTGATCTCCCAAAGTAAGATTTTATTTGGCCGGGAGAATCTAATTTTGGAATTGTGTATATATATATATATATATATATATATATCTTAAGAATGAGATTACAAGTTACAACCATGTATATTTCTTGAAAGGGTATATATATATATTAATTTATAAACAAAACGGATATCCAGAAATGAGTAATATAATGTACGTATGTAATATTATCTAATCTAAAATAAAACATATTAACACATATCGATGGAATTATTGGTTTTTGAACCCAAAATATATAAATGTGTATGTGCAGAGATTAAGCCGTGTGTGACCATCTTCCATTGGGACCTCCCTCAATGCCTCGATGATGAGTATGGCGGCTTCCTCAGCCCTCGCATCATGTAAGTAACCAATCCATATATAATAATAATATTAATATCTATAACCAAACAAATTTATCAGTCTCAAATTATCCCTTTTGCTATATTCTACTTACCTACCTAGCAGTAGATTTAGATTTAGATTTTGTCTTATCAAATATGTTTGATATCTCTTATTTTGATGATCAAAATAATAATACAATTTTAGAGTTTTTGTAAAATATTTCGTACCTACGGTGCAGCGATGATTTTGCGGCGTACGCACAAGTGTGCTTCTCGGAATTCGGTGATCGCGTGGACACGTGGATCACCATTAACGAGCCACGGTCATACGCCGTTAAAAAATACCTTCTGGACACTTGCCCGCCGATACCAACACCGGGACAGCCCCCTTTGCCGGTAGATAAGCTGCCGCTGCCGTACAGGGAATTCATCAGAACGCATCAATCGGACATTAGCCCTGATGGCGCCGGGACGGTGCCGTACGCATACGCTCATAACTTAATTCTGTCTCACGCAAAGGCTGTCCAAATCTACAGACAACATTTCCAGGCGAAGCAACAGGGCCAGATAGGGATTAGCAACACCACCTTCTGGTACGAACCCTTCACTAACTCCAAAGAAGACATCGACGCTGCCTCCAGAGCCATCGACTTCAACTGGGGATGGTACCTCTATCTATCTATCTTCATTCTTCCAAAACAAACTAGTAAAATAATAATAATAATAATTATTATTATTATTATTATTCTTGAGCAATTACCTTGCAGCTTGCTCCACAAAGAGATCTAAAATTAAGAATGACGAAATGTATGTTTCAGAATTTTGAATTAAATCTTATTTTGATTTGATATTTTATATAAAAAATAATATTTACTTTTTTATGGTAATTAATAATGAAAGTTGAACAATACAAAAAGGAGAAAAAATAATAAAAAATAAAGTGAACAAGATCTTTTATGTATAATTTAATAGAGATAATTAAGGTTTGATTTTGAATATTGATTTGAAGTTTTGATCTAAACAATAGATTAAATATTTGAATATAATATTTTGTGAAAATATAAAATAATGTATTTATATAGTAAATTAATAAATAATCTGAAATCAATGCTTTGGTTTATAATTGAAATTTTTATTTGAATTTTAATTTTACAAATATTTTGATATGATCTTTTATAAAATTTAAAATAATAGTATATCTTTATTGAAATTCATTCGAGCTAAATATTGTTATTTCATTTTTTTTTATTTCAAATCGAAATTAAACAAAGCCCCAAAAGTAAAAAGAGCGGCCTAAAAGTAATATTTTGTATTTGAGATAAATTTTGACACAAGTAAATTTAAGTTCATACTTTTATTCTTACAACATACTCTTGTTATAAGTCCCATATTCAATCTTCAGGTTTATGGAACCTCTTGTGAGGGGCGATTATCCAGAAGTGATGAAGCAGAGAGTCGGCAACCGCCTACCCAAGTTTGAGGAAAAAGAATCGACTATGGTGAAGGGGTCCTTCGACTTCATTGGAATGAATTATTACACAACCTACTGGGCTAAACATAAGCCAACCCCAAAGGGCACGTTGCCATCTCATACAACAGATCAAGAAGTAGAAGAACTCTGTAAGCATCACCAACCAAACCTATCTTCTAATGAAAATTACGTATTTAATCTTGTATTTATGGTCAATTATTACTTATTCTATATATTTTATCGAAAACTTTTCTTTAAATGTAAATATACGACCAAAACAAGCTGAAGAAAACATACGTGATAAAAATGATAATCGAGTTTATATATATATGACTATATTCGTAAGTTTTTTTCTTTTTTTATTACATACGTCTTACTTATTGCATTTTGGAGATATTGTTGATGCTAATCAATTAATGTTTTCTTTTGTTAATAAGATGAACGGGAAGATCCAAAGGGCAATAAGGTCAAGATTGGCAAAAGGGTATGTATCAATTGTACATGTATTAAGATATTGATGTATAATTAGGAATTCTCATTTGTGTTTCTTGTATTATTTCGAAAATAATAAAAAAGAACATTTTGATACTAGGATTTAAGAAAAAAAAAAAATAATATGCAAAACACAAATAAAGCAAATCCTAGTACAGTTAAGAGCACCTGAATCTGAAAATTAATGTATTGTGTGTAGGTTGGGGAAGGGTGGTTGTTCCACGTTCCGCGGGGCATATTTGGGCTTCTTAAGCACACAAAGACTAAATACGGCAATCCCATCATCTACATTACAGAGAATGGTATGTCTTGAATATTGACATGTAATTAAAAGAAATAAAATTGTATTATCTATATCCAAATTTTTATTATATACATATTTTTCACTAACTGGTTCAGGATGTGAGGAAGAAAGCAATCCCAAACTAACGGTTAGCCAAGCATTGCACGATAATATCCGAATTGATTACCTTGTTAAACATTTGGCATACTTGAAGCTAGCCATAGAGTAAGTTTATATGTCATATAACCATATACACACGTACATATACATTAGTCTCCATTTACATATATATTTTTGAAAATTTTGAATATTCAGTTATAATAATATTTTCAAAGACTATCACATTAAATATCTATTTTGTCATAAATTATCATATTAAATACTCAAATTTTTATTGTTTTCCAATTTTTTCAAAACTTCAAAGTATTTATGTAAAAAAATTCATAAGATGCGGAAGGAATCCTTAATTCTCGAATCCTTTCTATCCCCCTTGTCCCTACACTCAACGGCAATACATACAACTTTTTTTTGTACGTATAGGTTGCTTGTAGTGGTAGGGGGCGGGAAAGAATTAGCGTTGAGGATTCCAACCTATTTCAATGGTATGCTTAACATAATTGAATTTAATGGTGATGGAAATAGGGACGACGTGCGGGTGAAGGGGTACTACGTGTGGTCATTGTTTGACAACTTTGAGTGGATGGAAGGATTTACGATGCGATTTGGCCTCTATTTTGTTGACTTCCTTAATGACTTAAAGAGATATCCAAAGGACTCGGCTATATGGTACGCAAATTTTCTGAACAAGAGGCCCTTTCCAGGGCCTAAGCGTCAAGCTGACGACCAAATTCTTCAAGACAACAACAAAAAAAACAAAAGATTCAATTGAATCCGCACGTCCAGCTTCTTATATCTAAATTAGCTAAGCTAGTTTTCCATTGTCTTGCCATGAAGAAGCTAGCTACCTAGTTTGCACTTGCCTTTAATTTATTGTGTCTGAATAAATTAGCTACTAGTTCATGCTCATGTGCCGTGATCATTACATCCATGAATGAGCTATCTAGCTTTTGTGTGTGTGGCATTCATGGGCCATGATGATTGGATCCATGAACCAGCTATTTAGCATTTGTCTTTATCTTTATTGTGTTATGTTTATGGGCTCTGATTGCTGGATCCATGACGAGCTATCCATCATATGCTGTTATTTTTATTGTACCCCGAATAAATTAGCTAACCAAGTTCTTGTTTGTTGTTAGGTGATTGTTGGTTCCTCTTGGATTTATTTTAAATTTGTTATTACTATGTGTTTTCAAGTTTTTCTCTACGAGTATTGTTTGTCGATCATTTTTCTTTGGTATGTTTCTAAAAGTAGTATTCGTTCATGTTGATTTTACAAATTTCAAAATCCCTAAAAGGTGTAATTTTTAAGTATATATTTTTATTTTTGTAGCAACTAAATACGGTTTATTAATCATTCATTTTTAAATTTAATAATGCCTAAATCTATGAATCATATAATTCAAAAATATTGAAGCATGCATGCTCAACTTGTCGAACCAATGCTGAATGAAGTGATTTATTTGGGAACGTAAAATTGTAAAATCTATCCTGTAGACATGATAAATATTGAATAGACTAAAATAATAATAATAATAATAATAATAATAATAATAATAATAATAATAATAATAATAACAACAACAACAATATATTATTTGTAATACTCCGAAGTTGGGCTGGTGCTAGACTAACTCATGAGCCGGTGCCATGCCATCCGGGATCAAATAGTGATTAAATAGATTGAATAGACTACTTATGTCAACAATATGTACATTTTTTTCGGAAATCCTATTGAAAGAACTCTAGAGTTAAGTGTGGTTGCTCTAGAGTAATTTGAGGATGACCGACACCATGGGAAGTCTTCCAGGGTCTGCGTGAGTGAGGAGCGCGTTGGAACGACTCGTGTTGACCTGTGAGGCCAGTCTACGATCTCGAAACACTTAGCTTTGCAAGACTTGCGGGTCGGGGTATCACAATTGGTATCAAAGCCAATTTGCGACAGCCTGCAGTCGTTGACGGGACTGTTGACGGAACTAGTAGTTGAGGGATACTTGGGGTGCACAGAGACGTTGCATTCTTAAGTCGATGAGGTGTAATACCCCCGGAGTTGGGCCGGTGCTAGACCAACTCCTGTGGATGAGCCGGTGCCAGGCCATCCGAGATTCAATAGTGATTAAATGGATTGAATAGACTACTTTTGTCAACAATGTGCACATTTCATTTCGGAAGCCTTACTGAAATAACTCTAGAGTTAAGTGTGCTTGCTCTAGAGTAATTTGAAGATGGGTGATGATAACTCCAAATAATAGTATATTTTCCGCTTGACAAAACTGTGCACTACTTGAATTTTTATGTGAAAACCATCAATATATCTGATTTAGAGCATACTTTATTGAATTATTTTGTTTGGTATGATCCAGAGCGCGTCTGTTGAGATTATTAACATTTTCGGACTATTTAAGCGATATTTCTAATCCAGAAAAAGTAACTATTGAAAGTCAAGCGACGGCGTTTTCCGCTCGGCAAGCGACGCTCTTTCCACTCGAGCCAGCGCTAGTGACCAGACATCCAACGCAGCGAAGCGAGAGTGAACCACTCCAAAAATTCACTTAAGTGTCCATCTCTCAGCAGTCCAGCCATTCCGAAACCAGCCAACGACAATAGCATAACTTGAGTTGCACTGATGCCCTCTAGCCATCTAGGCAAGCGAGGAATATTTGGGTCTTTACATTCCAAAGCAAGCGAAGCTACCACTCTGAGAGTTATGACCACTACAACTGCTTCAACAGAATAACTGCCGCCAACTACCTAACTACTCAACGGTTTGAACCACTTCTCAACTGCTTGCAACTACTGCCTTCTCTGATCTATAAATAGGGTCATATTTCTTTTGTAAAACATTAGACTCATATCTAGATCGACAATTTTGTATTATTAATTTCTTTTGCTTTTCTGCTTTTCGAGAGCTCAAACCCTGTAAGGGAGTTCTTTAGTTACGAATGGCCAGAGGAGTTGAGATTTTCTCCTCCTCTGGCCGCTCACTTTATTGCTTTGTAGTTTAAGTTTACTGCTTTGTTTACTGCTTCCGTATTTCTTTCATTATGTAGATCTTTGCTACCTTTTTAGTAAGTAATGAAATATCAAGATTTCTTCATATTCACTTCTCTCCCCGTTTCATATTTGCATTCGCATGATCAATTTTGAATTCCGTTTTGCTGAGAAAGAATAGAGAAGAATCGATTATCCGAGCCTAGTTTCACGTTGTATTCATTAACAAATTCTAGGTAGTTCAATGTAGTTAAGTATGTTGGAGCCTTTTCGACCTGCTTAGTTGTTTTTCTCAATTTAATTTTGATTAAAGAGAGGTAACAGAAGGGTAAAGCCACTAATGAGACAAAATTTAGAATAATTAAAGGGGCATAGGAGCTTGTCTATTGGGTCATAGAAATTTCTGGTGACAATAGCATTTCTTGCTTATAATGTTTTAATTATGGGTGTCATTGAAGTCTTGTTGTAAATCTCTTAAGGTCAAGTATCAGATCCAAGTTCTGTATAATTCTGTTTATATAATTACATTCACATCTCCTATCGCTTCCGTACTATACATATAACTTCCGCTTATGCACCATCACCACTCGCTCATTTCATCCATGACAACCTAGCCATTAAGGAACGCACAGATCATACACAACATCCCTTGGGCACCCTCTCTCGCTCAATATATACATATAGCTCGCGCTCATCTCCCTCGCTCACCAACGCTCACAAACCATTATCACTGTATTCATCACTCACTAGTTTTGCTTTGCTCATCCCTCCGCTCACCTTTATCGCTTCTTTAAATTTTGTTCACTTTATGCTTTTCTCGCCGTTTTTCACCGGTTAACTCTTGATTAAATTTTGTAATTTAAAATCCCTGAGTTCGATATGGAAACTCACCAGTTAAAGAGTATAAATAGTTGTGATAAACGATTTAAGGTCTACAAATACATGTTTTTAATCCATATCTGACCACTCACAATAGTCCACTTCATTTTTATTTCGATCTACATTCTCTGTAATTGAACAACTACAAAAATCGCTTATCAAGTAGTATGGCATTTTTCCCACCAACTTCTGCAAGGCGTCATGAATAATTAATCCGAGTACGAGGCATTGCTATTAGCATTGCAATTTTTTATCGCGAAAGATGTCAAGAAGGTTGTTATTCGAGGGAATTCTCATCTGGTTATTTGTTAGGCCCTTAAAGAGTTCAAGTGCAAGGAACCACGGCTTCAAGACCTGATTCGAGAAGTCCACGACCTTCTTCGGCAGCTCACGGAGGTGAGTTTGAAGGATATACTTCGGGAGGAGAATTTAGAGGCAAATGACTTGGCACAATGGACTTTCGGATTTAAAAGAAAAGAAATACTACAAGGATATGAATGTTTGCAGGCTGATCGGGACTCAGACTAGTGTATTCCGCTGCTGACAGGTCTGACAGACCGTAGGAAGGTCACCTCAAGAGGAGAGCGCTATCAGTTCCTAAAATACACTTCGATCTATAGAGAATTGTATCGGCGGAGATCTTATGGGACTTTGGCCCACTGCCTGGGGCGCGAGGATGTATGAAGGTCTTGGCCGAGGTCCATGAAGGTCTCGGAGGTGTCCATAGGGCCGATCCCATGATAACTCTTGATTTTGAAATATTTTATAGCTTATATTTATTTAATTATTTATATCGAATTTTTGTATTATTTATATTAATTTTTTTCATCTTATGTGTATGATATTAATTTATTAGTTTTTAGATGCTAGTTATAATTTATTTGGTGTATAAATTAAATTTATTGATATGTTTATTGAATTATATTTTTAGTCATTATTTATGTGCTATTTAAGTATTTAATTTTGGCTAAATTATTTTTTTTAGTAAGTATATTTACTTAAATATATATTTATAAGGTGTTTAGCATTTATAGATGTGAAATAATGCTTGAAAACTGATATGGGAGTCCAAAACTAGCCTTAAAAAGTGAAAAAATGGTTTCATGTGCGAAAAACAACCGCCAGCTCGAAAGTCAACAAACGTCAACGCACAAGAGTCAACGGTCAACCCTGCGCGCGGAAAGCGATGGCAGCCACGCGGGAAGCGAGTGTTGGCCGGGCGGAAAGCGAGTGTCGGATACACATAAAGCGAGCGTCGGCTGCACGGAAACTTTTAAGCGAGCGCGGAAGTCCTTGCCTGAAATTTAGCGAAGCGACGGCTGTGCAAAAATTTGAACGAGCGGCGGCTGCATTTATTGCCGTTGAGTCAGCGGCTGCATTTAATGCCCAGACTTCCTCAGCTACTGCATTTACTGCACTCTCCGAACTCTATATTTACTACACTCTTTCAACTCTCTTGATTAAATTCGTGCACTATTTTTTAGTCATTTTTTGTTGTTTTGTATATAATTTTAATTCTAGAACCTTATAGAAAATAGATAGTTATTAGTAGTTATATTAACAGCTATTTTTAGAGACAGTTAGTAGCTATTTTTAGAGTTAGTTATTTATGGTTATTTTTAGAGGTAATTAATAGCTATTTTAGAAGTAATTATTTATGGGCGGTTATAACCGCCAAGCTTCTAGAGGCTTTTCCCTCTAATTGTACCATATATACACGCATATATATATACACAATAATATATATAACCATACACTCAATTTTCTTCATTTTTTATCCTCCATATTTTTATCTAGTTTAGTAATACGGGATTGTCGGTTTTGTGTCGCGAGCAAACTGATTTTCTCCTCATTTTCTTGTAATTCCAGCAGATTATTTTAACAAGAAAAATTCCTATCACACTTTTCCACCTCACCTTCACCCAAAAATTTCATGTTCAATATTAATTGTTCAAGTTAGATTTCGGTAAGGTTGCGGAAGGGCAATAGAAGAATCGATTATTTTATCCTTGTTTCGCGTCACTAACAGATTTTTGGTAGTTCAACATAGCTAAGTATGCGGGAGCCTTTTCGACCTGGTTAGTTTTTGTTCTAAATTCGATTCCGATTAAAGAGAGGTATCATAAGGGTAGAGTCACTAGCGGAACTGTTGGAAGAATAATTTATGGGGCAAAGGCGGTGGTCTACGATTTACTTTAAATACATAATTTAGGTAAAATATAATTTGCAAGTAATAAGGAAGTGTATTAATAAAAATAATTATGCTATAATAAAAATAATTATAAATTAAAATTAAAATAAAAAATAATTAAATA